AGATTTACCAACTCTAAGATGACTACATTTAAGAAGTCTCCAAGTTCATTTGGGTAGCAGGAGTTTTAACAACTTAAAAGAAGGAGAGAGCAGCCTGTGCCCATTCATTTATAAAGGGCAATAAAGATTCACAAATTCACCTTCAATACCTGTTTGGACACACACTCTCAGTCAGTGTTTTTGTTTTTTTTTTACTCCATTTTATATACAGAAGACATCAAATATATGAAGTAAGATATATGGAATTATGTAGCAAAGAAGAAGAGTTATTCAAATTAAGAACATTTTACTTTATTTGACTAGATTCAACTTGACAAGTGAAAATATCTGCCAATGGAATAAGTGTGTTTTTCTTAATTCAAGCAACATTCAATTTTGTTTCTTATTGTAAGTGCAAAAAAGTTGTTGTTTTTCTTATTGTAAATTGTAGTGTAGCAAGATGCATTTTCATATTTTAAGTACAAATGTCTTGTTCCACTGGCAGATGATTTTAGCCTGATTCATCAGCCGGTTTCATTTAGTAGAAACCTATCTGACCTTGCAGCTTTAGAATTCGGTCGCATTACGGCAGGCAGGTACTTTTAAAAAATTTAACCAATCACTGCTATTTGGCCATGATGTATGTAATGTGCCCCTAACAGGGTAACTGGTAAATTAAGATTTTCCCAAAACCCGTAGGAAGAAGGGCATTAACATCTTTCCCCTTGATAAAATTCACCAAACATTCTCTATGTTTCGACTTTAAATCCTCGATCTCGGGAATCCTTGCCAACACAGAATGCGTGGCTCTTTGCTGATTGGCTGGTGCCCGGACTCGTACTTCCGGGGTTTTTGCGATCCATCTAGTGTATTCTGATCCTGACCTAATCTCTGGAGAGAAATGAAATTGAGCAGAGGCACTCAGTGGCTAAAATAATTTTACTTGTCAAGTGAAATTTACTGGCGTCATGATAAAACTTTCTTAATTCAAGTCATTTTAACTTGGCTAGATTTTGTTTTATGCAGTGCAAAAAGTTACAGAAGTTAAGAGTAGTCATTTTTTTGTCCCAAATCACTTACTAATATATGTGTGTTGTTTTGTCATTATAAACAGACCTGGAGTTGTGTTTTGTTTCATTCACACATGTTCAACACACAAACCCTGCAGATTTACATTGAGTTCTTCTCTCAAACGGAAAAGATTCTGTTTTACCTTGTGATGTCAGGTGGTACTGTGTTTTTAACTTTGTTTCTTTGCTACATAATTCCATATACCTTACTTAATTTACAGTATTTGATGTGTTCTGAATGAGATTGATGTGTCCAAACTTTTTACTAGTGTATATCACAAGTCTTTCATTACTGGGGACATCCCTGGCCAGATCTTTTTCTTTTTGTTTTTCTCCATAAATAGTTTAGGACATTTAAGACTTTGGGTATAATTTCGAACCAAAAGCTGCATTTTCTAACTAGCAGGCAACACCACAGAACCAAATGTTTCTCAGCAATAAAAAAAACTGTAAAATGTAAGTTTAATACCATGCTGTGGGACATTTCAGACAAAGAAATAACATTTACAGCTCCAAAAAAGCCCCAGTCTACACCACTCCCTTTTTGAAGCACTGAAGGAGACTCATCACATGGTTGGTGGTAATCCAGTGAGGAAATAAAGACTTATTTGTTTCTAATAATAGCCAGTGTTTTATATTTCCCAAGCTGTAATCAAGACGAGAAACCTGAGCCGCAAATAATCACCCAGGCTCCAATTAAACATAAATTAAACTTGTGGCAACAGAAACGACTGTGTTGAAATGTGATACAGAGAAATTACAATGGCGTTAGTGGAGACGAGAGCTACATACATAATATTCTCTTTATATAGGCCTACTGTTATAAAGCTGCTTCGCTTTTTAAATACACATATCCGCTTTCTGTTTAAACTTAAGGTGCAATAATGAGCTTTATTACATATGGTGGACTACACAGGCACAGCCCAATAAGGCGAGCTGTTGGACAAAGGTACTGCTGATAATAAACTTGGCAGTAAATGTTTATGGTAAGGTTAATATTTCATTCCAGACAAGTATTAGTTTGAGTTGTAATGTTTCTGCATTTATAACTTTAATTAAAATATACAAAGGTGTGACATCTGTATTGTTAAGTTAATGGGACTATTGCTTCAACTGTCTGGTCTTATTTCAACAATCCATCTTTAGTTATGATGTGTTTAAGGGTTCACTGTGACTTGTGAAGTTCATTGGTCCAGTGGTTGTTTTAAATGTGATACAGAAAGTCACGACTTAGAACCAGGTATGAGTCACTGAGGTACATAGTTTTAAGTTAACATTTGCTTTAAAAATGTAAAACTTTTAAACACAATGTAGAAATGTTAAAATATGTTAAAGGGACAGTTTGGAATTTTGGACATAGTACCTCATTTCCTAGTGAGCCAGAGTGTTGGAGACGTGTGGAGACGCTTTTTAAAATATTCCATCCAGTCCTTGTATTTGCAGAGGTCCCTGGTGCTAGGCTAGTGCATGTCAATGGCCATAGTTAGCCTGTCACTAAAAACAGTCTTTCCCACTCCACAAAACACCCGAAACAAATCTGTTATGACACCAGACTGTCGATGTGAATGTCTGTGTTGATAGAATAATGTCTGAAATAAAACTAACCTTGCATCGCATGAATTGTCGCATGTTGAGGAACTATTTTCTCAGCAGCAGCAGCAGAGTTTTACTTTGTCGATAAGATAGGTGCTAGTTGATATCAGTCTGCCGGTGCCAAGTTTTCTGTCAGGAAGTACAACAATGGATGTATTAAAATAACTGGATAGGATACTGCTGCTTGTAGCTGCCTCCAGTTGATGTAGTGGCCACTCACTGGAAGCGGAAAAAACCCTGAGCTGAGAAAGGATTTTTCTCATAGAGCACAATGTAATCACAAACTGCTCATGTTCGACTGACAGGGCACATACAGCTTTCAAAAATGACGGATTTTGTGGTGATTTTTACCAGTTTTTATATCATAAACTTTTTCTCAGCTCAAAATTCTTCAGTTGTCTTAAAAACACTTTATAATCATTAGCTCTGGCTCCGCTTGAGCTCCTCTCACTCTGATTGGTCAAAGCGATCATGTGATACACGAGACAGCGTTTCGTGTGTGCATGCGTTCTATGCATTCACATGTGCCCGTGGGAGAAAAGAGCACTACTGCACATGCTCAATCAGCCCAAAGCCACTGGAAGGACCTGGGCGGGCTAAAGGCTAATCTGGAGGCATGTGACACTGAGCTCGGCCCATTGACTTGAACGGGCAGCCATTTTAATACTACAGGGCTTGAGTACAACTCACTGCTGCTGCTCAGACAAAAATCCTTAAAATGCAAGGTTGGTTTTACTTCTAAAATTATTCTATTGACACAGACATTTACATCGACAGTCTGGCGTAATAATAGTTTTGCTTCGGGTGTTTTTGTGGAGTGGGTAAGACTGTTTTTAGTGGCAGGCTAACTATGACCATTGACATGCACTAGCCTAGCACCAGGGACCTTTGCAAATACAAGGACTGGATGGAATATTTAAAAAAGTGTCTCCACATGTCTCCGACATTCTGGCTCACTAGAAAATGAGGCCCTATGTCCAAAATTCCAGACCGTCCCTTTAAAATATATATGTAAATATGTATGGTAAATATTACTAGGGATGCACCTACCCAGCTTTTTCATTTTCAATATTGTTTCCAATACTCCAATAAAGCATTAAGTATCTGCCAATACCTGATACTGACTGATACCAGTATGTACCAGTATTTAAGTACCAAATAAAATAAGACAAAACTGATTCAAATGTCTTCTGTGGCTGTTATTTATCCCTTGAGTAACTACAGAAGAGTTTTGTGTAAATAAAAATTCAAACATTATGAGACTTTCTAGGCAGACTACACCACAAGTACATCGTCATATTACATCAGTTTATATGTCCAACCAGGATACTAGCTGAACTGATATCTGAAAACCGATATTTGATCCAGTTTTTCAGTATCGGTGCAGATATCCGATACCAATTAAAGATCGTTGCATCCCTAAAAGCAAAAGGGAATGTTACTGTTTTGAGCTGCCGTTTTGAACTAACCAAAAAGATAATTCCAGCATGTTACAAACGTTGACCATTTCACTTTGATTTCTCTGTGATTGTGCAGTCTATATTTAGTTCTCATCTTGATTTAAGCGCTATCTCTCACACAGCGTCTATTACATCTCATTCACTAGTGATTTAAGAAGTCATTTTCCAATAATCTGTCTATATATATATCAAGTAGAAAATATGCATTGCTTTAACACGCATGGCCACAACACTGGGCCTCATGCTCGGGTTATAAATAACAAACTCCATCATAGTTTAACATTTCAATTTCAGACGATTATCTTTGTGCAGAGCCTTCAAACGTAAACCATAATAGGCTTTGTAAATGTTTATGTGTCCAGAACCAATGGCACCTTTCTCCCACTGCGCCCCACCAGCTCCACACATGTCATCAGAGCAGATCATAAAGCATGAAATAGAGGCATTAGCTCTTATTATGCAGGAAATTGGCTGTCTGGCTTCATAACGGCCTCTACATTGTGGCCTATATATGGAAATACATCTACAGCTTGTTTAAAGTGTGTCCATATTTAAAACAGACAGACAACAGGGAAAGCAGCACTGACTCTGTGTGTCCAGCGCTTAATGGAAATCAATGTGGTGGATATGTGAAGCTGTCGATGTATCGGCGGAAGCGTTCGGAGGTCTATGAATAAAGCAGTGTGCTCTTATCAGGATTAAACTCAATATAAAAGGTTCCTCTTGTTACAAACATCTCTCACACCAAGGTCAGGGCCAGTCCCCAAAGTGTCCCCACATCGACAACCTTGAATTATGTTGTGGTTGGTAAATTATTCCAGAAAAATTCAATAGTTTGCTAATTTCAATGAATGATAACACAAACATTAATACAATCTTATTTATTTTTAATCCTAGCTTCTAAAATGTCTCTATATTTCCATTTTCCAATAACTTCTGTGGTTTGCAAAGAAACGCTCAATTATTCACACAAAATTCAATACTTTGCCAATTTTTATGAGCAATAACCAGATATGGATTGCAACCGTGTACTATTTTTATTAGTTCTTGTTGTTGAACAAGAGGCTCAGATTGCAGAGAGCTCTTCACAGAAGAAGCTTCAGTCTTCACAAAAATGTGAAGAACACAAAATACAAAACAAGTCACCGTTATCCCACAAACATCAAACGCACAAACATACACTTTTACTCACTGTATAAAAGAAATAGAAAAACGTATCAATGAAAAACACACATTAAAAACATTACACATTGATTTTCAGCACAGATCCCAAATAGCTTAAAAGAAGGAGCAATAAGTGCCAAGTGTTTTTTTTTTTTTTACATTTAAAATTAAAAACATAAAATTGTATCAAGTCAAAATCATCTCTGTTGTGAATACCATTTTCAAATTTCATTTTTTGTATTTTATAATTTAAATAGTAAATTTAGAGAATTATGTGTAGTCTAGATACACACAATTCCCTAAATCTCAACTCTAAACACTTTATCAATAACAGCAAAATAGTTCATTTCACTTTTAAAACATCTTTATAAACTTTTAAATAGAAATTGGGCAATTCCTCTGAAATTTAACATTTAATTCCACCTTAATTCGTGATTGGATTTACTAAGACTAAAAGAGAAAAAATGTAGCAGAATATAAATGTGTGTATTTAATAACAAATAATATATTAACTCATTGTTTTGAAGTAGTCATTGTATTAGCATTTATATTATATGTTTATTACTGTATATATTTTATCAATTATATTTTCATGTATTTTTTTGGAATAAGGAAATTTACAAAATGGTATAAAAAAAAAAATTACAAAAAGCTGAGCATGTCAACCCTGTACATCCCAAACAATGGATTTCCTCGGCCGTCTCCTTTACGAGAGAATCTGGGGAAAATATATGGTCCAATGAAAAGCCACCAGCACTTTCCTGTCTCCATAAAACACCGAAAGTCCTCCAGCTCTCAGGACAGAGGACCAAACCAGTCCAGCTCCAGTCCGACCAGTGCACTCCCAGTAGGGGGCGACGCACAACTGTTCTGCAGCCTTCCTCCTCAACCATGAAGAGTTGAAGAAGCAAAAAAAAAAAAAAAAACAGGTCTATCAGAGTTTTACGCTGGTACAAAGTTTAAGTACCAAGTTGGCAGCATGGGGCCTGAGTATATGGTTACTTCAAGACCAATAATACTTTTGATTTGATAGATGAAGCTGATTTGCGTACACGTACACTACATGACATATTCTTGATTACCCACAATGCAATAAAAACAGCACTTGAATCATTGGTCCCTGAGTCACTTTGAAGATTTTGAAGTTTCACATGTAAACAGCGCGCGTTCAAACAGGTCCTCTGTGGTCGAGTTTATAACGGTGATAGAGTTATTGTCTACTTTATCACTTCTGGTGCATAAAAGATTTGATTAGTCGACGAGGAGGTGGCTGGTCATGTGATCAACTGGAGGAGGAGGAAGAGCAGGGCAGGAGACAGGAGCAGGTATGGAGATGTTCTCAGTGAAGGAGCTTGATTCTGACGTACAGGCAGGTCTGCAAAAGAACAGAGACAGGATTTTAAGTTATGTCAAAGTTTGGAGCAAGAAACTGTCCATTATCAATCAACAATATCAATGCTTTGTTATCAGACTGAATGAGCAATTGGAAAAATGCTGTTGTGATACTTTTTTACTCATTTACTCCTTAACTTGAATATTGTAAAATCAATATTCGAGTTAAGGTTAAAGTAAACTATTAAAACATGTTTGCAGACGTCTAAACTACAAAGATAGCTGGTTTTGTGCCAACTATGAAAACTAGACTGGTTAATCTGGTGATTGTAGGAGTTTATATATTAGACTAGATTAGAATTTTATTTACACATACAAGAAAAAAACATAAATGTGATAGAAAACATAAACATTCCTGTGCAGAAGAGAGAAGAAGACCGTAACAATCTTACAAAATCATTTCCCCTAAAAACATGTTTCTAGACATGATCAGGCAAGTTGACTTACTTACAGTAGTTCAAATATTAATCATTTGTACATCAATATTGGTTTTATTGTCTTTTAAAAGAATCTACAATGGAAATAGACATGAGAATAGAGGATAATTGTGTTGTTATTTGCAAATTTCTGCCATTTAAATTGTGATTTTTTTTTCAGTTTAACATCCTTTCTGCTTAATCTGACGATAGTAGGATTTAATATTAAATTAGATTATAATTTTATTTGCAAGAAAAAACATAAACAGAAAGAAAACATGAACATTCCTGTGCAGAAGAGAGAGAGAAGACCATAACAATCTTACAAAACCATTTCCCTAAAAACTAAAAAATGTTTCTAGCATAACAGACATGATCAGGCAAGTCGATTTACTCACAGTAGTTCAAATATTAATCATTTGTACTTCAAAATTTGTTTTAATTGTCTTTTAAAACAATCCAGAGTGGAAATAGACTTGACAATAGGGGATAATTGTGTTGTTATTTGCACATTTCTGGCATTTAAATTGTGATTTTTTTCAGTTTATCATCCTTTTTTGTTTACAACCAAATTAAACAAACAACTTTTTTTTTTTTTTTTTTTAAACTACAGTATGATGTGAAACAATGACAGCATGATCACAATTTGATGTTGATTGTTTTAATAAGTAGTATGGTTCCATCAAAAGTTTAGCAGGCACAGCTGTACAGCAGAGCGTGTTTTTGCACTGTAGGAACTTTTGTAGTTCCTGGGACTTTCTCAAAAGGGACTGTACTACAAAAATAATCCTCGTCTTTCTCATGCATCCTCTTACCTTGCTGTTGCTTGGAGCCCTCTGAAGCTGCTGTAAGAAAGCAGAGGAGAGCATTTTCAGACAAAGTTTAAGCAAAAAGAGTCAAGTTGCTGATTTTTCATTTTCGTGTTCTTTATAGTACAAAAGAAACAGATAAATGACCAGACCGAGGTATTTACCATTACTCAACTCCTAATCCTGTGAAAAATTAACCCTGACCGACCGTACAACCCCAAATATGTTCGCCTATGCAAATTCTGGTAAAGGTCGGATAAAAAAAGACCGCGAGGAGCCACAACAGGAAGAGATAGTGTTATGTAGATGAGCAATGATGAAGATTATAGCGAATGGGATGCAGGAAATGAATTAGCCAAGCGGAGATGTTGTAGCAAAATTCTAAATGACAGCGAAACCGCAAACTGGACGCCGGATTAAAAGAAAGTTCATATAGAAAAAGAAGGTATGAAGGATTAAAACGGGATCAGACAGACAGAGGGGTGAAGGGGGGAGGAAGAGGAGCGAGAGGGGGTAAGGGGAGGGGGGGGCAGTTGTGTCTGGGCGTCGTTTTGTCAGCGGGGGGCACTCTCAAAGGAAATAATGGAGGAGAAATGGGGAAGGGAGGGGTAGAGTAAGAGCAGGATACAGGTGGGCGATTAAAACTGGTGAAAAAAAGAGATTTTTTTTTTTTTTTTTTTTTTTTTACCCAGGTCATTGAGGGCACGGAACAGGGACACGCAGATGTGGAGGAAACCAGAGGACAAGAGCTGCATGATTTTGAAAACTAATAGAAATTTGTATTTATTAAACAGAGATCCGGTTCACCGAGAGCATTTTGAAGAGAAGCCTGAAATGAAAATGAAATGAACAGCTAAGGACTTGTTTGAAAAGGTCTAAACTGCAGGAAAATCTGGTTTATACAACAGAATTTCAAATAGACACAATACTGTATTTTGCAGAATGAAGAGGACATTACATCTCCTAAATTGAGGTTATTGGGACTTGCTAATTGTAACTATTCAAATTGTAATTTTTATTTGATTGCGACAAATCTTAGAACGAAGATTTTATGTTTATGTAGATACAAACATCCAAAGAAATTGCTAATCCAATTTCTCTACAACACAACAATACCAAAGCAGAGGGAATGACATGTCCGCCAGTAAAAATACTAAAAAATAAAGACACATTTTGCGATCTTTTAATGCTAAAATTTCCTCTTGCGCAAATTGACTAGTTTCTAAAGCCTTATAACAGTTTTTTTTTACATATAATAAAAAGTCTGAAGTGAAATGCTGCGAAAACAAAACTCAAATCAATCGAGAATTAAGCATTAACTACTGTAAGCGAAAGCCAAGGCACAGTTGGTGTAGGACCTCGGTCTGAATGCTGCAGGTCTGTGCTGTGGGAGACACCAGTCCCTAAATGAGTCTGGATGTGAACAACTAACGACCATCGAGGGGTTAACGAAGCATTAAATAACACGCTGAGTCCAGTCCTGAGGCTGAGAGAGAGAGAGAGAGGAGAGAGACACCCAACCAGTACAGAAGACGACAAGAAGCAGTGTGGGTTAGAGCAGAAAAATACAATTGCAGTACTCAAAGTTGTATAGAAGTGTGTGAGCTAAATATACTCTATACTAGAAGGCGTAATAATCAACTTGAGATCCAGTTGTTCCGGATGGTCACCACTAGAATCAGCTTGGTTTTTTTTTATATTATGAGCAGAGTTCAGAACTATTCTTTCGACGAATTTTACTGACCCACATAGGAAATTACTTGGACACAGTAGCTCACACATCGCAATATAAGATGATAAGCAAGAGCAAAAATGTAAATGGTAATAATAACTTCAAAATAAGCAGCAAAAATAGCAAGAGACTAGTATCAAATAAGGCATAATTATATACATGTATACAAATAAAAATCAAGTGTAGAAGTATAGTAATAAAAATATACATCTCAGCTTTATACAAGAAGGAAAACATAGGGTTATCTGTTCTTGTATTATAGTTGTATGGAGTATAAATGTAGTCCTGTATCTCTCACTGTTGGAGAATGAGCTCCTCTTTGCCTCTTGTGAAAATAATATTTATGTTAAAATTAGGAAAGCCAAGCCATATAAAAAATAAAAAAATTATAAGAAAAAATAAATTTGAATTGAAAATCGTGTCAAAACAGTCAATACAAGGATAAAAAAAAAAAAAAAAAAAATCCAAATCATCCAGTCCTATTTAATTTCTAAAATAATTTCAGATTTTCTATTGAATATTGTAATATTGTGGTAAAAATGCGAGACAGAATGCATGATTTTAATATGTTTTTCCTCAATCACCATTTTGAAGCTCTGAGTGGCAAATATGAGTAGATAACGATTAGAGTGATTGTGTGAAAATTAGCTAAATCTAACTGATCATAATCATTAGTGAATTTGCAAAACTGTTTCCACGACGACTATAATCGTTTCCTGAATGAACAATAGCGTAGTAAATACTTGAGATAGCTGTAGTGAAATGCTTTGGCTCTGGCTGTAAATGTTTGCTGTTTACTCGCCTGTATCCTGTCTGTTTGGATCGGGCCCTAATCGCATTGTCTTCATCAAAACCTCGACACAAAACCCCACTTGTTTGCACGCACACGCTAACACCGTCGACCCAAAATGGCGTCCGCTGTGGCGTGACTGCAGTGGGCTGACGCCACAGTTACACGGATATGAATGTGTGTGTTTCGCCAGTCGCCATTTTCCTTAAGACAAGACCTGAGAGGCAACATAAAAACTTACTACGAAAAGTGCCAAAGCGAAACCACAAGCTGCGAAAGTTTTCAAGTCGAAGATGTGAGCGGGAGTGACGGGACGATGGGCGTGCGCGCTGTCGACTTGGTGCAGGGAGTTCAGAGGGTACAAAGATTTCGGGGAGACAGGCGAGTGGGGTAGAAGCAGAGGAGGGCATCCATGTAAGAAATTTCCCCCTCAAAAAACACACAAAAGAAAGAACGACACAAGGTACGAGGAAAAACGCTGAAGCTTTCCGAAGTGAAATGAACGCAATGGACTGGCTCAGCGGGACACGGAGCAGCTACGGAGAGAGGAATCAATTAGAGAGAGGAAGAAGTTGCTCTGAAATGGCTGCGCACAGTGGGAAGACAAAAGGTAAACACAACAGGAGCGGGTTTGAGGTGCGCTCGCGATAAATAAATAAAAGAGAAAGCATGGACGGAGATGGAGATGGTGAAGGATGCAGTAGTTGGGGGTTGGAGGGGGGTGGTTTCACATGACAACAGTGGATCATGCCTGCTTCGTCTGTGTTCAGCCTGTTCTGATGCAACCTGTGCTCAAGAAGCTTTTAGTACAAGCTCCAGTCGGCTTTACACGGAGGGCTTTGAGCACGCCAGACAGGGAGGGACGCAGGCAAGAATGTCATGGAGTCTAGAGAGTGGTGTCAGCTCTAAAAGGGGGTCTTACGATGGCTTTATGGACTAAATTGTGGACTTTGAAATATTAGGTAAAAGCTTTAGAGTAGAATCGCTGCAAATCAGAAATGTTTCAAGCAGAAAGCAAACACAGACAACTCAATATCTCAATCTAAAGTAGAGGTAGGAGGTGTATCAATATCAGTTTTATGTATCAGACCTGAGCATTGTACAGCTCCCAGGTCACATACGGTCAGATGATAGGCCCGTTTAAGCTCATTTGGAATTACAAAATAAACATATTTTACCTCATGCATGGACTAAAGCGCATTGCTTTTATTTTAAATGACATTTTATATAAGGCAGCCTCACTTTTTCATTGCTTAATCATAACATAAACTCTTACCAGTCTCACCAGCTTGTCAAAACAATGCTTTTTACTGCATTTTATAAAGAAATACAATTAATACTATGCAGAACTGAAGCATTTTGGCTCGGCCCTTTCTCATGTGGCCCCATGAAGAAAACAATTGCCCACCCCCTGATAAATATATATATATTAGGGATGTAACAGTATCCAAAATATTGTGATATCGTATCACCAGAAGTCTCACCAATAATATCGAGAGCTGTCACAATATATCGAATTACAAGTTCCTTTGCTTAAATCCATTGTTTTTTATTAGGAACAGCTAATAAACATCAGGAACTACATATCCCATGATTCATTAGAGTGCAGACGACATGCAGAAATATGTTTTTACTTGAATTCTTGGGATAATGACAGTAATAATTCACACCAAAATCTTGTCAAGGTATTTCAAAAGCAAAAAAGTGTAAAAAAAAAAAACCCAAAAAACTACAGTTATACTTGCAACTCCAAAATATCGCAATAAATATCGTACGGTGAGATGCATATCGTGATAATATTGTACAGAGAGATTAGGATATCGTTACAGCCAATATAGATGTAAAAAAAAAAAAAAAAGATGCAATAGAAAATGATTACTTTTCACTTGAATTCTTGGGACTCTGACACCAAAATCTTGTCTAGGTATAAAAAAAAACAAAAAAAAACATCCTATCTACTATTATATTTGCAACTCCAACTCAATATATCACAATAAATATCGTACCGTGAGATGTATATCGTGGATATCGTTACATCCCTAATATATATATGTTAAAAAATGTTGCAATAGGAATTATTACTGAACAAAATATCTTATTATTTTTCCGGCCTGGTTTTATAGTGCAGGGCAGCTGTATTGTAAAATGGGGAGAGAGAGGATAGAGACATTCGGTAAACAATCACAGATATAGACATGACGACAAGGTGGAAGACACAACAACGCCTTAAACCACTGCATCATAACACAACACTGTCACACTAAAATTTGACATTGTGACAACACTAGCAGAGGCCATAGCAGCTATTCGTGGGTTTTAGAAAATATTACCTTTTGGATGGGAAAACGTCTTCAAATGTTGCATGTAACAGGAAGAGGAAAACAACACAACCTTGTCATGACAAAAACAACCTGTGCCGTTACATATTGTGGCGTTATTTGTCTCGCTAATCCTCATTAAAAAGCGGAGACAGGACCATTTGCATAAAAAGCAGTCCGGTAGTTTAGTGCCTCG